ATAGAAATGATCTTTAATAGGTTAGAATCCAAATTTTGAAAGTCTAGTTCAAGTGAAACTCAAAACATCCATGAGGGAAATTGTTTAATTTGGTGTCTGTAAAAAGGAATGCTTTCGAAACTGTAAACCCTTCACTTGTAAAAAATTTATGGCATCATTACCTTTACATACATGCTATAGAAGTGTGGTAAAAATTTAGGAATTATTGGATAATGATGAAGAAACAAATTGACAACAAATTCACAAAAAATTTAAGGCTAATAAATAACAAATAATTTCGAGATCTAGCATCAAGCAATGATTACCCATTTACGACAACCTCAATCCTAATATCATCTCACACAATGACTTCTAATGTGAAAAGTAAATTATTACCATACACAATAATCTTAACTGCAATAACAAAAAGAAAGAAAACAGTACCTAGCGGACCATATCTGAGGGTCCGTAAATTAGGAAAGATGCGAATTTACTAGTTTAGGGTCATCATATTCGTCTCAAAGCTCCTGTCAACTTCAACAAAAAGAAATGACACCCGAGACTGAAATGTCAAAGGGCAAAATCTTCTAGATTTTACCATATTGCTTGAAACTGAAAATGGACACCACCACAGAGCACGCCTTGCCTCCCGGAACAAACGTCAATTCAAACCGTCACCGAAATCCGGTCCACGTGCTTGCACGCGCCATCGCCGTTGCTACGAGTAGGCCTCACACGCCGCGGTGATTGTCGCTATCGACCTCCACGGGCAGGACCACCAGGTGCGCCTCCGTCTACTGAAGCTGCAGGTGGTCTTCGTTTGTCCAAAGAATGTTTGGTCGGAGAAAGCAAAAAACAGTTATGTAGGTTTGATTTTCAAATACGATATCCAAGTCCCTACTTACCACTAAATGGTACGACTAGCCAAAAAACCATCCAACTCAAACTTGAGCCCTCCAAAAATCTTGGTTATTTTCGGGTCAAGTCAAACCTATGGTGCCGATAAATTATTCAACATTTTTGTAAGTCATCATCTGAATTTATTGGATATCAAAACTTGTTAGACTTCAAAAGGAAATTTTTCATGTATAAATCTTGGCAATATGAGCCGATAATAAGCCGAACCCTCATTTCATGGTACAAATTCCACATATTTTCAATGCAAATTTATCCAAATTTTTTTGAACGTTTATACAAATATAGATTACCCATCATCATTTTTTATCACCAGTCTTACACATTTTCAGTGTAATCTATTTTATAAAGAGGTAAAACAAGTCACCACGACAAAATAAACTCATTAAATTGAAAAATACCATATAATTTATACTTTTTATAATTAAAAAACCACTTATAATTGAATTATTATGAAAATAAGTTTTCTTAAAGACACTTGAGATTGAAAGGTTGACCAATCGGACTCCTCAATTACTCCGGATGCTTCTTTTAAGGAACATTTTTGGATTTGTTCTGTAAATTAAATAAGTCATTTAATTTCACCTTTCATTTAGCTTATCATTTAGAACTACATAGATAACAAGCCAAAATATATACATGTTTGTGTATATAACAATTAGCAATTCGAAGCATCTTTTTTGCTTTGAGCCGTGAGAAGATACACTATGGAGTTATAGATTTATTTGGAGGAAAATGATATATAACAATGAAGACACTCAAATCTTCGTCTTATTGATTGGCATATAGTCTCATGTTTTGTCCTGTTTATTCTAATGGGATTTAACCTTATATAGATATTCAAATTCCTCTTTATTCGAATATTTTGTGGGACCCTCAAATACAACTTATCTAATCGTTACTCATTTTCATTTTAGTTATAAACAAAATTGCTTAGAAACATTTCACATATATGTTTTTGGTACCTCTATCTCGTTAGCATTTTGTCATTGAGAACCTAACACTTGCATGGTTTATTTCACTGTAGTTAAGTTTATCACATGGGCATATCCAGAAAGATATGTTATGGTGGATTAAAAATTTTTTTTTTCAATGAACTTATATTATAAAAGATACTTTTATAACACACGAGATTTAATTTAAGGCTATGTTTGGAGGCAATTAATTGACAAATTTTAATTAAAATCTCAACCGTTGCACAAACCTACAGCCGTAACATTTGACCACATGTAAGAGGTGTGGAGGCCAACAATTGAAAAAAATGATAAAAAATGTGCTACTAATTTGAATAAAATCAATGCTAGACACAAGCTAAATTCGATATGGCACCAACTGTACAGTGAGT